CAGCAGACGACGTAGCCTGACGCCATTTTGATTTTTTGTTCAGCTTGTACACCAGCCCTGAAGTGCAAATGATGACAAAAGCAAAAGAGGACAGCTGAAGAAAGGTGCTGAAATAAATGGAAAAATTTTCAAGATTAGCGCCATCAGGAATGTATTTAATGCCAAACACTAAGGCTCCATCTTCTTCGAGGCGCGGCGCAATGTAAATAGCCACATAGACGGGCACCACCGATACGATAACAATCAGAAAGATGAATACCACAGCAATAATTGTTCTCTTGCGTGTCAAAATTCGTTTCACTTTTAAGGGTACGGCAATGCACAGATATCTCTCGAAGGTGATAAACGCCGTCAACCAACCGGAAATGCGAGTAAAGCAGACGTGAGGCCAGCCGGCAGTGACATGTTGGATGTCAATAAAGCTGAAAGCAGGCAGGGCGCCCACCATCAACGGGTTGTAGCATATGCTCATCCAGATAAGGCTAATCAATCCGCAGACGTCCGCCACAGCTAGCCCCAAGAAGGGAATATTGATGGTGTCTTTAAATCCCTGCTTGAAGAACACAGCAATGTTAAAAAGATTCAAGATGACTCCGACGAAGCTGATGGCCCCGATCAAAATGGCATAATTGGCAAAGGTAACGAAACGCAGAAGAGCTCCGCTGACGGGATCAGAACTCAGCTCGTCCAGTGATAGAACGTTTTCAGTTGTGTTTGGCAAAAGATATGATTTCATACTTTAGATAATATTGCGAATGAAAGTTATTTCAAACAAAACATTCGCATATTTTTTTTCAATTCGCTTTCTTTATTTATTATAGGTGCATTTAACTCATGTATTTAAATTTGAGAGACTGGATTCGTTTCGATCATTGTTTACTACATATCACGGGGAAACAGAGACATTTGATATGAGAGGGAAGAAAATAATGCTATTGTTTTGTTTCCAATTTTTAATTTTAAAAAGTTACTGAGCTGGAACTGCACAAAGTATGTTGCGTCTGTTAATGTTCACTTCGAAGCATTAAATACATTAAAATTCCATTATGTACTGTCCCGCGCATTTCGTTGCGAATAATTTAATAACTGGATTCTAAGTCAAATGGTGTTGAACTGAATAGGGAAGTACTACGCAATTGGATATTATTACATGTAATTTTAGAGCCACTTCGCCGCGCGTGCTTCTAAAGATTTGTCGATTTATCGTTAAAAGACATTTTATAATGACTATCCATTTCTATCACTTTTTTGCGGCAATTTCCAAAGTCTTTTGTCAAAACGTAATTTATAACGATTTGGACTTTTGCAAACACTTTATCTGAACCTTTTTTTAAACAATTTCTTCTGATGGTTTATACACCGTGGCAATTTAAAAGTGTCAATTATGACCTCCTCTTTAAAGTTTTAGTATAATAGAGACAAAAATGAAGATGGTTCATTACTATACTATTTGTGGGTGAATTTCTCCTAAAATTTACTATACTCTTTTTGCGTTTGTAATTTTGGTTGAACTTTTTTAAAAATAAAGCAGGTGAATTACGTTGCCAGTTTGTCAAATTGTTACGTACTGAGGCTCAACCGAGTTACTAAAAATTACACTGCAGTTTCGTGAAGTCGCAGATTTCTACTTTCTGTATTTTTGTAAGAACCATTATTGAATTTTCAATTTATCACAAAATCGGTACAATTATTCGCCCATATTTTCATTTCGGGAATAAATTTAAAATTAAACGTTTTACTTCTAAAAAAGGAATGGTGTACTTGTATTTTATTTAGCCCAACTCTGTGACTCTCACTTTAAAATAGCTATTGTTAACCAGTGCAAGTGATCGACATTTTAGAGCATCAGGAGGAAAAAAATCAAATGGTATATACTTAACTTACTTCTGTAATAACTACAGAAATAATCAAGAAAACGCTATAAAGTTGAACTCAGGTACCAGCTTGTCCTTCTGGCATAGAGAGAAACAGCTGGCTGCAAATGGCTTCTTAAATCAGACAGCTGGTGGCACAGTGAGTCACACGTGAACCAAAAAAAAGTCCTTGTCGAGGGGCCTTCTTCTACTTCTTCTTCTTCGTTCTCATTTTACATGTCGGAGGGTTCAGATCCTAGTAATCCTATATCTGAGATGAACCGCGCAGTGGTTTCCAGATCAGGCAGTTCTCGGAATAGTTTTTGTTCTGCAGGAGGGTTTTGGGGCCAGAGTCTAGGTGCTGAAAATGAAAAGAAAACTTAGACCCCAGGCGGACTACTGTTCTATCTGCATCAGTGGTGGCGAAATTTCTAGGTCGCAACTGGGTCGGCCTGCGTGACATAAATAAATAATAATAATAATCTTTATTATCCATATGGATAATCTTTCATTCATCTTTAAATTTCGGACACACTAGTATTAACAGGAAGTTACAATTGTTCAGGTAACAAACTTATATTACAAGCTAACTAGCTAGTGGGGGTACGAAACTAATACTGTTAAATGGAAACTGTTTAAAAAACTTTTGGTTTGTCGCCACGACAGCATTCCAAACGCTCTTCATTGGCTTAGGCATAAGCAAATTAGGCAGCCGCCTATGGCCTCCTATTGGTGGTGGCCTCGCAAGAACTAAAAAAAAAATTATTATTTTGGAAACAAAAATTGCGAAACTTGAATCAAATTTCAAATAAAGCAGAACTCGTCTACTAGCCTAAGTCTCTACCCAGGGGCGGCCTTAGCAGTGCGCGGGGCCCTGGGCGAGTGTCTTGTGTGGGGGCTGAGTAGTAGGGGTAGACTATATATATATACGGTACCACATCACGCTAACGGGCTACTCCTTCTTTAACGCTGTAACAATAACAATACAGTATGTCCGCCTCTAACGCTGTGGGCCTCATTTTTGTTACAAAACATAGAGCATAACGTAGGTACTGTTGGCTTACTATTGGCCCCTTAAATACATTATATACTGTATTGTAATTGTTATGCATAAAAGATTTTTCTTTCAAGTTAAAAACGTTTTTAAAAAATACACCCATGGCCGCACGATGTCTATGCACGGTAGCCTATAAAACACTTAGGCGGTAGAAGCCAATCCAAAGAGTTTATTTTGTATATAAACATCGACTTCCAATCGCATTTTAATAGGAAAATGTGTAGTGATCAAGTTTGTGACAATAAAATCTCCGATCGCGGGGCCCCTCTCAGGCGCGAGGCCTGGGGCGATTACCCCATTTGCCACCCCCTAAGGCCGCTACTGTCTCTACTATGATTCAAGATGCAATATAGAACGCTACCGGAATCGCGCTACATGAATTTTATTTTATTTGTTGATATAGATATAGATGCTGGAATGTTTTAATTCCTTTCGTATTTATATATTTAGGTCCTTTTATTTTGCTATTTCATTTGGGGCCACCTAATTAACTTCGCTTTGGGCCTCCAATTACTTAAGGTCGGCCCTAATGCATTAATGGTGTTCCCATTAGGATACATGAACAGGATCGGATCTTTGGGGCTGACAAAGAGTTGTTTTTTTTTAGACTAATCAGATTCGTAAAGAATATTCTTTCCTAGTGGTATTAGAGCATGGAATGGGTTGCCTAAGTCAGCCAGGAAAACCAATGACTTGGCAAAATTAATGACTAGCATGTCAAGATTGGCATAGGGACACGCTAAGGACGTTATCATATTTTGTTTGAAGTAACGTCTGTATTTTATAAGATAAGAAGATTGAACTCGTGGTCTAATTATAAAGACTAAATTAAATAATAAAACAACGTTTCTGCTAACACAATATGGTTAAAACAAAAACATTTACAGAAATAAATCATTTAGAGACAATCTTGGTTCAATTCAGTGTCTAAATCTTTTAAGAGGTAGTATTACCTAGTGCAATGTCATAATAAAGTTTTTTATATTGTGTAGATATAATTTTAGAACCATCAGTCTTTTTCAAACACTTTCAATGTATAACTAGGGCCTATAGTTTAGCTCAATATCTATAGATGTAGTAATAGATTGTATAAATGTTCTTTAAATATCTACAAGTGCATTTATACTGGCTTACCTATACGTTAACATTAACCAAAACGTGAGAATGATCAAAGTGGAGTCTTTTAAAGCAAAATACTTTTTTTTCCCGTTGATTTTGGACAAAATATGATTATCTTCAAATACAAGGACTTTAAAAACATTGTTTGAATAAAAGTATGTTTTCTTAACTAGTAAAGGGAGCCCCACTGTCATCTGACCCGGAAGTACACGGACAAGTTCAAACTGTCATCATCAATATGTGTTACATTGATTTAGATGAAAGTTGGATTCTCAACCAAAGATTCGGAGCTCGATTTCTAAAGAATATTTTTACTTGGGAGTTCTATATCAGCACCTAGCAATGTGCGGGTGGTGCGTGTCAGACGGGGCATCAGAGGAATCAAATTTTCTCCCAATGGAATCCGAGATGACTATTACCTGTCTGCATGTAAAAAGACCATGCCCCGGCTTCAGCCCAATTTATCAGTCGCAAGCACCTTACCTTAGACAGTCCAAAATTGTAAAATCTGGTACTGTACTGTTGTGAAGTGATAGCATGTTGCGAGCTTTCAAGGTAAAGGAAATTAAATGTGTCCATTCGTCGTGATGGGAAACACACACAAATATCTGCGGGCAAAGACATTAGTATCTCTCCCTCCATTATACAATAAATGCTAGTGACATGAAGGGAGACTATTGTGTTTACGGAAGATAACTTTACAAAGTTATTTTAAAGTGAGGCTTACCTCCCTTCATCACATTCATTGTAAGTCAACGTTGGCATCTTTAAGAATTGAAGGAAGGGGATGACTAAATGGTGGGGTTCGATTTATTTAGATATTCATATTCCAAATGTCTTTTACCAGATTTTGAATAAACATAAGATGAATAAAATAATTGAACAAGACCAGAAGTATATACCAAACAAACATTCACATAATCACAGCCAGAAGTAAGATTGTAAACAACATATTTCCTACAAAGCCAGAGGACAGATTGTAAAATATTTTAATCTTGAAACATATGAAATGTATAAATGTTCCACATAAACAAATTGAAATAGAATGTTTAGTCTTTAAACCCAACACAGTGGTCCATGCCAAAACACTGTTCACACAAGCTACGCACGCCACACACACACACACAGAGTATCTCTACACTAAAACTCAAGCAGATGTCTCTACACAAAAAAAATCTTGTACATTTAGATCCTGTTAGACCTTGAACCTGGTTCAGATAGGAACTGTTTAGATAGCAATAAAATATACATATCACCAATACAGCTAATGTGAGGCCAATCATTACAATGACATTCTATCATTAACCATCAGCCAGTAAATTAATCAACAAGTTGCTTTAATAGATTCATATTAAAAAAAAAAAGACAAAAGTTAATATCAACTGTCAATGATGGATGGAGTGTTGATCAATCAAGCAATTATTTTAATACAGAAAATGAAAATCACATTAAAAAAAAACCAGTCCTTCCAATCTGGTCTCAGAAACTTCTCCATCATTGACATGATCTAGAAACATCAAAACTGAATAATACCATGTAAAGATAATAAAATCTGAAGAAAAAAAAAATATCCACAAATTGAAAACTAACAAAAATAATATTTTTGTTTCGTTTCTTGGCGTAAATATTTATGTAAACAAAGAATATCTCAGAACTAAAGATGTCACTATGGTAACCAGAGAAGCCAACAAATGCTTTGAGCATGTTATGATAACAAGACACAATCCTGAGTTCGAACACAAGTTTTCAGTTGAGCACAAAGTTTTGTTTTTTGTTTGGTTTGTTACAAAACATTATGTCTTTTTTTAAAAAACATATTGCATTTTAAGTGTAGATCTAAACACCATGGGGGGGGGGGGGGGGGGGATGTTTTATTACGTAATAAACACTATAGAGCTGTGTAAGTTTTAACAACTGTTTGATGGTCCCATGCAAAAGCAGAGGAAACATGTGAACACTAAAACTTATGGAGAACTTATCAAAACTAGACAGATCAGTAACTAGAATGTAAATGATATATAGGTTAGTGAAACTTGAAAAAAAAAAATGTATTGGCAGTGATTTCTTTGTGAGAGATGAACAAAAGTTTTCAATTAAACATTTAATCTATAAATAGATATGTACAGCATTGTGTAAGGAAATAGGAAGAAACCAAAAAAAAATCACAACAGAACACACTCAAAAACTGTGGAGCACACAGTAAAATGACTAACTGACTAATCCACTAACAATTTAAATAGAATAATAGAAAATAGACCATTGTATTGTGATCACTCATCATTCATGCCATGTGGCATACAATAAAAAACATAAGATAAACATGCTGATATATACTAGAACTACTTATCAATGTTTTTAATGATTACAAATCTTGTGTTTAGGATTTGTAGACATGTATAGACTACATTTAGTCAGTATTCATTAAACAGGAATTAATTTCAATATAACCAAACAGTTCATGAAATGTTTCAAACTTTGGAATTAGTTGGGTTTTTTTTATTACCCATTTAAAAATAACATTGAGGTCACAACTTAGTCAAACAAAGAAAAAAAAAATCTTTCAAACTCTGAGTAATAAATACATAAACAGTAAGAAAAACAAAACTACTATTTAAAAAAAAAACATTGAAGAAACTGGTGCACCTCAATAATATAGGGTAAAAAAAAAAATATAAGGACATTTTGATCCCACAGTTTTCATTTTAAAACCAACTAAGGAACCACTACTGAACTACATTTACACGTGTGTTTTCATTATGATTTCCCTTTAATTAGTGCCCCACACTAGCCCAGTAATACACAGATCAATCCTTAAATAATATTAGTATTCATAACATAATATAAACAACAGTAATACCAGTAATGAGTGAAAATGTTTTAAAATTTACATTTTCTTCTGCCAAAAAAAATAAATGTCTTAAAAAAAGATTTTTTTTTTTTCAAATTTTCATTAAGATCTGCAAGTTAGTCTTTAAATTTATTGTTTTACTTGACATGAAAGAGATAACTGTAGGTTAACTAAATAGCAAAATAGAAAATGCTGAACATTGCAATGCCAAATTGCTGATGAAAACACTTTTACAATATCTTCCATAATCTAAAAATTGGTAACCGACTCTGTGAAATGTTGTTTCAGTATATAATCAATTATTGACAATGAGTTGAAAAATCAAACAAACCCACATTATTTTAAATATATCACCTCTATCTTTTCATATAAACTAGCATACATCCATAGGACACCATAATAAATCTTCAGATTCCAAGGAATGTTCTAGACTTCCTGTTTTACACTGTAAACATTTAGTAGCTTCAATGGAAAGCAAAACATATTGAATATAATACTTTTCAAAATACTAGTATAGTGGATATACATAACATTGTAATAAATTCAAATATGGAATAACTTTTACTGACAACTACAATTAGCAACTATCAGCAAGAAGCAGCAGGGCTGACTGCTCCCAAGAACTTGAATTCTTGTCAGGTTGTCTGCTTCAAAGAACTAGATCTTACATTTTTCAATGTTCAAGGGGCTTTAACTCTTCCAAACCTTGTTGAAGTAGTACATAAAGTTATCATAGATCATAAATGTAATAGCCACATCCAGCGTCACTCTGCTCAACCTGGGCACAGTACCTTTGTAAAATCTGGGGGGAAAAAAAAGGGTTAAATTATCACAGAGAAAAACGTTTTCTTGTATAATGTGAAAAGAAAAGTATTTTTAATAATAAATCAAAAGCCAAGGAGATAGTGGAGTGTTTGGTATTGGAAGAAAGAAAAGAAGGGACATAAATGCTTGGTGGATAAAGAAGGGTTACAGAAAAAGAATAAAAAACAAGGACATCTTGGTTTAGTTGTCAAGTTTGTCTCAAGCTGACTTATAGGATAGCTTCTTCACTTATATAAATACATTTTTCTAAAAAAAAAAAATAAAAAAAAAAAAAAAATTACAAAGTTTGTCAAAACAATTTGTAACGTAGCATTTTTGTTTCAAATATATTTTAATCACTTTTAATTTTGTGTGTTTTGTATACTCCTCATCATCATCATCATCATCAAGTTCCATTGGAGTGAGGGCTTGAGAGGCTCAAATCCTCTCTAGCAAAAGCTCAGGAAAGAAACCTTGCTGTTATGTGTGTCACCATACAGGTAAAAAACTTTTGGTTTCCCAGACGAGACGGAGATCAGCACGTCTGTGAACTCAATGTCTTTTGTTTACCGCAGAGCTATTCAAGAATACTTTAGGATGTTTAAATGAACTATGTTTTTCTGTTATACAATATCAAAGCTTTGGGTGATAAGACTCTTCCGTTATAGCTAAATACCTCTTAAGGATGAAGAAGCAAATTAACAGGTTTTAGCAGCTAATAATTTCGATTTAAATTCTTTTCATTCTGCTTTAATTACAATGAAAGAGTCAGTGCATACTGACCTAGAAACACTTCACTATTATAAACCATTAAATGCTGAGATCAATTCAAGTCACTTCACTTTACGACCTTACATGACTCAAATGAGATTTTAACTAAACAAAACCAAATACTACTTACGCTCTGGGACCTTCATTTTTCCAAATCTTTACAGCACAGTCCCATGTGTTTTTATATTTGTGAGCATCCAATCCCTGAAAAATAAAGTCAAAAGCATTTGTGAAAAAAAACACCTCACTTTCAATAAAACATTTAAAAGAGATTAAAAAGTCACTAAAACAAATACAGAAAAGCTCCAGACTTTTGTTAATAGATGCCTACACCGGATATTAGGAATTAGGTGGCCAGAAAAGATAACTACTATCAATTTGTGGGAGAGAACTAGACAAAAGCCCATAACCCAAGACATCACAAAGCGAAAAAGGAGCTGGATAGGACACACGCTGCGAAAACCAGTTACCAATGTTGCAAGGCAGGCATTTGACTGGAACCCACAAGGAAAGAGGAAAGTGGGCAGACCCAAGCAAACCTGGAAAAGGTCAGTCATCAGTGAAACTGAGGGTACTGGAATGACATGGGAGCAGATGAAGAAAGCTGCTAAGAACCGAGTTCGGTGGAGAGGTGTGATTGCCGCCCTATGCACCCCTGGGAGTACACAGGATTATTCAAGCAAGTCAAAAGCTGTACAGTGCTTAGCTGCCAAGACTTAAAATACTGCACTTGAGTTCTCCAGGGGGCCAGGGTGTATCTATTCTAGGGTTGAAGAACTTCATGGTTACCCCCATTCCTGACTTATAACTGGCATAAATGAAAAAAAAATTACACCATTAAAATTTTTCTATAGAAAATACACTTTCAATTGTCCCATAAATGTACAAGTCTATACAGAAATATTACTTTTACTTGGTTTAAACAAATGTGAACTTCGATGTTGATAAAAGTATCAAATAGGAGGTTCCCTTCTCTGGATGGATAAAGTAAGAAAATTACACTCACTGGATACCATATCCAAATTCAAATATTAGCAAATCATAGTGTACAAATTATTTAAATTTTGCTTCAGTATCTTGCTTAATCCTTCTTGAGAATCAAGTCTATAAAATCTGGGTTGAACTTGCCTGCATTCTTGTTTTGACAACATCTATTGGAGTATTTCCATAGACTGATGCTGTCCCAGCTATAGCACCAAACAGGCCAGTGATTAAAGTGGGTACTTTCATTTGTTTGTCATCTCCCCTGTACCAGTCTTTTAAGGTTTCCATCACAAAAAATCTAATAGCTTGATTACTTCCCTGCTTCAACATGGTTGCAGTTACCCCCTGGTAGACTCCCCTAATTCCTGCACAGAAACAAGATGGTGATTGGTGATGAGTTAATGGAGAAACAAAAATATTCAAATTTTGAAAAGTAAATTTTAGAATGAAATTATTTTGACTGAAAACATTTTTGGTTAAATGCATCCTATACTATGAAAACGTGATTTAAAATTATACATAATGATAAAATAAATAAATGTAATAAATAAATATGATTAATTAATCTTCAAAACTAAAAAAATTTCACAAGACAAACATTTGTTTTTAATGTCTTCACCAACTGCATCCTTTAGCAAATTTATCTAAAAGCTAAGAGGATCACTGTCAAAATCTCTTGCATGTAGTGGTCCTTAATTTTATAAGATCAGAAAATCACTTTACACAAAGAAATCAGAGCTAAAAAAAAAATATTCAGCATTGAAATGAATCTCAGGGACTGCAAAAGTAATTTATCAAAAGTGCTATGATGGGCACATAATCTTTATTTAAATTAAATAATAAGAAACAGAAAGTGATTTATTCTATTTCATCTACCAAATTGATCTCTAAAAAAAAAAAAAAAAAAAAAAAAAAGTAAACTTTGCCAACACTAAACTTTGTTTAAAGCTTTATATAAATCAAAGCACAGAAACTTTTCTTATAAATTCATAAGATCATTCACCATTTTTACTTTTCATTATGTTCTTTTTATTAATATTTGTATTAGTTTTTCTTATTATATAGCCGCATAGTTTTGCTATTTAATAACAGCTGATGATGTAGGCTGATATCAACTGTCTGAGTTCTGGTAGTCATTAGGGAAAAAAAAAGACCAGAGCTCTCTTCCTTACCTTGTTCACTCACTATACACCTGACTCCATGAAAGAAACCCTTAAATCTAGGATTGGGCGAGGTCTGGTCGTTAATGAATTTGACTTTGACAGTCTCCATTGGGGTCACAGCAAATATAGCTTCTGAGACACCAGCACCTTAAGATAACAGAAAAAGGTAAAAGTTCATTTCAGATAACTTATAAGTATAACAGGCAGTAATAATTGTCTGGTGTGTTACAAACATGAATATATACTATCAAACATAGCTTGATCAGACTGGCTTATAAGCAATACCTACTTTTTTAA